AGGAAAGGAAAGGAAAGGAAAGGAAAGGAAAGGAAAGGAAAGGAAAGGAAAGGAAAGGAAAGGAAAGGGAAGAGGCCTCTGACTTGGTGAAGAGCAAGCTGCAATCCAGTCCCATCACTTAACAGCAGTGTGGCCTTGGGTAAGTGACTAACTGTCTTCGTGCCTCAGTTTCCCCACCTATAAGGAGAAGATAACAATCGTCCTTCCAGGACCATTGAAGTAAATGTTCAGTAAGTTATTTTACCCGACTGGCGATGCCCTAGGTAAAAAGCCAGGCTGTGGGATGATCTGCTCTCCATGGGGGGAGGAGAGGTCACGATGCCGCCTGCGGGGGACACGCAGCCATTCCCGGGAGATCTCACCTCCCGGCATCGTGGGGGCTGGGGCAGGAGGGTGGGCTGAGGTGTGAGGGAGGGTACACCAGGCACCTTGTTTGTTGTCTGATTTTGTTTTAACCGCGTGTCTGCATTCTGTTTTACATTTTAAGGAAATAGCCAAGGTGGGTGGGGTGGGGGGGAGATGCCCAAGGGTGACCAGGTGAGGGTGCTTCAGGAGCAGAGAGGTGGTGGGAGGGGCCTTCCCAGCGCTGACTCCAGCCACTGCCCTGCCCATTATGACCTCCCTAGTTGTGTCCAGGCCTTTGTGACAGGCACCCTGGGGCGGACCTGTAAGCTCTGACACCTGGAGGCCCCTCAGTAAGAGGGTGGCAGGTCTGGCCAGGCCAGAGCCTGGACCTGGGGACAGGAAAGGGTCACAGGGAAGTATGGAGGGGCCGAAGATCCTGGGACCCTGTGGCCACTCCCACCCCCAATGCCCTCAACCCTCAACTTCAAGCAGCCACAGAGGATGCCTGGACTCACCCTGCCAGGGGTTTGTAAGGTGGCCCTGCCTGGTGCCTCTCAGCTCCACTGACTCAGTGGAGTCTTCCGGGACTTTTCCAGCCCCAGAGGCCGGGGGCAGGAGGCCCAGGGTAGGCAGTGAGGTACCTGGGGGCTTTATGGCAAGTGAAGAGGGAGAGATGCAGAGACAGAGACCGCAAGACCCAGCAGGGGCGAGACAAGGACAGATGGAGGCAAGGCTGGAGTGGGCCTGGCCCCTGCACTCAGGAAGGGAGCAGGGATCACCCAGGCAGGGGAAAGCCCCCAGCTCAGGGTGCAGACCCTGCCCATGCCCGCACCTGTCACCGAGGACAAGGACCCCGGCCTCACCCAGGGCAGCCTCCTCCCAGCTCCAGAGCTCGCCCCTGGGACCTGCAGAACAGTCCTTACTCCAGTTGGAGCAGGAGAACCAGGATCTGGTGAGTGAGGCACTGGCCCCAGGCTCTGCGCCTGTGCGCAGCGAGCTCACAGCTGATCCTGAACCTCTTAAGCGCCATGCCCCCTCTCCTCTGCCCTGAAGCCACTACCCCAGCCCTAGCTGCCTCAGTCTCCTTCCCAAGAAATAGCTGTGATGGACAGTCCCATCTGTCTGTCTCCCATCCCCAGAAAAGGCAGAACCAGGACCTGCGAGAGCAGCTGGGGTCCCTTCTGGGACCAGGGCAGCAGTTCCTGCCCCTGTGCCCGGAGCACTCGAGTTGCACGGCCCTGGCCTGGGTGAGTACATGGCAGCAGCTTGGATCCAGCAGGAATTTGGCTGTCAGTCCTGACCCTGTGACCCCATGCACCACCCCCTCCACTCCCAATTCCAAGAAGTCCATGCCCACAGACCCTGACCATGACCTTGAAGCTGACCCGGGGCTCTTCTGCAGCCCCCTGAGCGGGCTGGTACTAGGCCCCTGGAGGACAGGAGGGCACCTTTGCAGCTGCTGCGGCAGGAGCTGTGCAGGGGGGAGGAGTCCTTCATGCAGCAGTCCCAGGTGGGTGCCAGGAACTGGGCCGGGCTGGGGTTGGTGGGGGGAGGGAGCCCATTCTTTTTGCAGCAGTCCAAGGTGGGTGGAGGGGGAAGAAGCTAACCACCCGACAGCCCTGCCCATGCCCATTCTGTGCCCCCCAGAATGAGCTGCAACAGATCCGACTGTCCTTTGAGAGAAAGAAGATGGCCATTACTGAGGTGCCCACCTGGCCAGGGTGGGGGCAATGCTGGGGGACCCATGTGGTGGGGCACATCTTTGGGGCATGACCTAGCCTTCCCCCCACCAGGTGTGGGATGGTGTGGCCGAGGTACATATGGCGCTGAACAACCAGGCCACGGGGCTCCAGGTAGGTCCCCCGAAGAGCAATACGCAGAGGATGGGGGAGGCAGGAAATGAGTGGGGTTGGGGGAGGGGTGAGAGGCAGGTTGGTCAGGAGTGGAGGACCCTTTACCTCCTCTGCCCCTAGAACCTCAAGAAGGATATCCGGGGCGTGCTAGACCAGATGGAAGACATTCAGCTGGAGATTCTGGGGTGATGTGTGGGGTCAGGGCCCGGGGGGAGGGGTGGCGGCTGACTGAGCTGGGATGGTGCAGGGTCCTGGTCAGGATGGGATGAACCAACCCCTAAACCCTCTCCAGTTCTGTGGCAACAAACCAGGGGTGGTGCCAGGCTGGTGGAGGGAGTGCGCATGGCCCTGACTGTGCGACTCCTCCAGGGATCGTGCCCAGTGCCGCACCCAAGCAAGGAAGGACCTGTGCATAGCAGTAAGCCCCCTACCCCTCTCCCAAGTCCCCACCCTGGAGGCCCTATTTGGGGAGGAGAGAGGTGGGCTTAGGTGGAAGAGGCTCCAGGGTGGGAACCCCACCAGGAGCCAGGTGACCAGAGTCATTGGGGAGACATGGTGGCAGGTGCCTGTCCTGGGCACGGGGAGCAGGAACACAGCACCCCGACCCTGCAGGGAAGGGCAGGCTCTGACCTGCCGCTCCCCCGCAGAAGGCGAAGCCGCAGCTGGGATGTTCCAAGGGCCTCAAAGGCCAGCTCTGGTAGGTGGCTTCGTGAGTGTGTGGGCAGAGCCCAGTCCCCTGGGGCTGCCCTACAGGCGCCCTTGCCCCCTGACCACCACCGCCCGCAGGCTGCTGGCCCTGAGGCTGCTGCTGGGCGCCCTGCTGGCCTGCACTGCCGCCTACGTGTACGTGGTGGACCCCACACCCTTCGAGGGGCTGGTGCCGCCCCTGCTGAGCCGCGCCGCAGTCTGGAAGCTCCGGGCCCTGCTGAGCCCATTCCTGCGCCTCGAGGTGGACGACTTCCTGCCCTTCTAGGCTGGAGGCCCAGAGGCCCCAGTGAGGAGGAGGCCAGGCAGCCAGCACTGCCCCGGGTGCCCAGCGGCTGAACCAGCCCCCTGCCCACAGCACTGCCATGTACACCGTCCAGCCAAGAGCCTCGGAGAAGGGTGGAGGCGGGGTCTGTCCTAAGGGCTGGGCCTGTGGCCAGACATACAATGGTGACACATACAGCGTCTGAGCATGTCTCCATGGAGATGGGGGGACAAGGAACTTCACTGCATCCCAAGGCTAATCTCAAAGTAGGGGTCCCTCAGGGTGGCAGCCCCACCTCGGCCTTCATGCCCTGTCTGCCTGCTGGATGGCAGCCCCTCCACAGGAAGCCCCAAGTCTGCCCCCGGCACCAAGAGGGCTCTGAGCAGAGGGTGTTGCCAGGAGGTTCTCCACTGAGAGTGAGGACTGGGGACCCTCAGGCCTCCCCCCTCATCAAACCTCACCTGTCACATAACCCTGTGTGGCAGGCAACCCCACCCTCCCCACACCAACGGGTCACCACCACCCCGCCCCACTCCTGTCCCCTCCTCAACCCAGGGTCCCTGTCCAGTCCAGCCTCCTGGCACTGCCCCAAGGCTCAGAGGACAGGGGGACCATGTTGGTGGACAGAGCTGTGGAGGTAAAACACCAAAAATTTTATTTAGCGCATTGAATTGGGATAGGGAATACCTTCTAGAACAATAAAGAATAGCTGTGTGGCTTGCTCACCCCCAAGTAGGAGAAACAGAGCTGCTGCTCAAGCAGGAAAGGGTGCCGAGTGCCCCAAACATACAGCTCAGAGCAGAGGAGTGAAGACTGCTGCAGAGTGGGCTCACTGGGCTGGGCTGGGAGANCACACCAACGGGTCACCACCACCCCGCCCCACTCCTGTCCCCTCCTCAACCCAGGGTCCCTGTCCAGTCCAGCCTCCTGGCACTGCCCCAAGGCTCAGAGGACAGGGGGACCATGTTGGTGGACAGAGCTGTGGAGGTAAAACACCAAAAATTTTATTTAGCGCATTGAATTGGGATAGGGAATACCTTCTAGAACAATAAAGAATAGCTGTGTGGCTTGCTCACCCCCAAGTAGGAGAAACAGAGCTGCTGCTCAAGCAGGAAAGGGTGCCGAGTGCCCCAAACATACAGCTCAGAGCAGAGGAGTGAAGACTGCTGCAGAGTGGGCTCACTGGGCTGGGCGGCTGGTTCTCCTCTCGCCCTGGCAGGGCCTAGCGGCTCAGCAGGCTGGTGGCTCCAGGAGGTTAAGGCATCTGTCTGGGTTCAGGGAGGGGGGAGTGCAGTGACCTGTGGGGCAACCTGAGACCCCACCCCAGCCTTACCACAGAGGCCTGGGCTCCCTGGGGAGAGAGTGGCATCTAAAGTGCTTGGTCAAGCAGGAAGGTCAAGGTGATGGTGTGACACCCTGGGAAGTGCTGGTCCCAGGAGTTCCAGGGCCCCCACCTGGGGTGTTGGACCCCCTGCAGCAGATGGGAACTTCCTGACTGACTTCCTGGTGGGCTGGAAGTCAGTCAAGGTTTGGCTGATAGAGAGCGGATCTTCAGCCTACACCCCAGGGTCTGTGGCAGCCTGGCCTCTCAACTGTCCTGGACTGGGCTGTCCCAGGCCCCACAGATGCCTACTTGGTACCCCGTTCAGGCCCCGAGACGCTGGGGAAAAGGCTGGAGGCAGCCAAGTGCAGGTGGCACACAGCTCCTCGGGGGGACACCCCAGCAGCTGGGCTCCAGGGGACCTGCAGCAGTGGGCGGTCCTCAGGGAGGCCAAGGTGGCAGAGGTGCAGGCCGGGGGCCACCCTAGGCAGGCCACGATGCCCCCATCCATGGCTACAAGTGCCGATCCGCCCCCTGTGGGCCGCAGCGTCCCATGAGAGAGAAGCAGAAAGGTAGGGGTCAGCATGGGGCAAAGCTGCCCAGCACAGGGGTCCAAGGTCTGGGGCACCTCCCACACTGAGCCAACCCCTGCCCAGCTGTCTCAGTCCTGAAAAGCTGTGCATTCCCAATGCCTCCACCCCAGACATTTAACAGGCAGAAGTGAAGGACCCAGTAAATGCAGCTGTAGGACATGGCAACAGCCGCCACAGGGCCCCCAGCCAGCAGTGGCCCCATATACACTCCCTCGTCCACCCCCCAAGCCCTTAGGTTCCCGGGGACCCCTGGGGCAGCTGCAGCCCCAGCTTTTCTCCAAAAGCCCTGTTACTGCCAGGAATGACGCAGGCCCAGCGGAGCCGCATGCTTGTCAGCCAAAGACCTGTGGGCCAGCCCCCCCTCCCAGGCTTCCAGCTCGGCTTAAGTCAGCAGAAATGCCCGCACACAACATCCGATCCCATACTGCGGGCCACCATCTCTCCCGGAGCCTGCCTGGCTCTGCCCCCCGCCCCCGGAGCCCATGAGTATCAGCAACAGCCCTGGCCTTGCTCAAGGAAAGGATCAAAATGACTCTTTTTCTTTTTTTAATAAAATTATAGATATATAGATGTAGATATAAAAACATAAAACAGACACAACGCAAGCAGACGCTGCTGTGTGCTTACTCTCAGGTCCCTGGCGCCAGGCAGAACTCTGACCCCCTCCCCATGTGCTTCCCACGCAGGCGCCGAGGCTCTGGAGCCCCGACTCTGCATGCCTTGGAGTAGGGAATCTCATTTGGCAGGGAAGGGACTCCTGGTCTCAGAGGTCCCTGTAGCAGCGTCGGGCCTATGCCTGCTCCCACCTGCCCCCATTGCCACCCACAAGAGCATAAAGCAGAGGTTAAGGCTTCAATGACAGCGAGTTTCCCGGCAGTGGGGGCAGCAGGGGCCCGAGCTTTAAAACATGGGACGTGGCATGGCAGCTCAGCGCATAGACACGGGGACAAGCCCACCAGCTGGGCGAGACGGGACACATGGAGCCAGGACCCCACCCACAGCTGGCAGTCTGTCCGTCTGTCCATCCACCTGTCCGTCAGAACCCAGAGTAGCCCTGGAGCTGGGTGGCTGTGGGCCAGGGCCGGACTCCCCGCAGCAGAATCGGCCTCACCAAACTAGAAGTTTCCAGCGGGTCCCTGAAAGGCAGCAGGATAGGATCAGCCAGGTGGCAGGCCCTCAGTCCAAAGGATGGCCAGGCCTCTCTGTCCATTTCTGGGCCACAGTGACCCATCTATAAGGGGAGTAGGTGGGGGCTGGCCTGCTGACAACCTCAGGGACATGGGTGCAGTCCCCACAGATACAGTCCATGCCACCCCAAGGCCCAGCCTAGATCCTGTAGGTGGTGGCCTTCAGCCCTGCCAAGCCCCGGTGAGCAGGTCAGTGGATGGGCAGGTGGAGTACGAGGGACAGACTCGTGGAGGTGTGGTTCTCTCCTGCTGATGCGTCCACAGCATGTCTGGGCCTCCTCCTCTGTCAGGGCAGAGAAGTCGGGGGTGGGGGGCAGCCGCTGGGGTTTCCGGGTCCCCGTGGTGCCACAGCAGATGGGTGGCAGTCACTCCTCACACGGAGATCTCGTACGTTGTCCCACCCACGCCAGACACCTTCTTAACGAGCGTGTGCCGGGCAGGGCTGGTGGAGGGCCCCGGGGGGCCGGCGGCAGGCCCCAGGCGGGCCAGGCCCGGGGACTGCCCGTTAAGCTTACTTGGGGGGGTCTTCAGCTGAGGGTGGTCCCTGCATCAAAGCAAACACATACATGCACACACACAGTGAACAAGGGACCATGGCAGGACAGGCCAGTGGAGGCAACAGGACAGATGATGCAGACAAAGCCCTGGGTGGCCCATGTCTGAGCTCAGAAGGTGCCACCCAGAAAATGGGTGGCTTCACCGAGCCAGTCGGGAGGGCTGTGCTGTCACAGGACAGACAGACGTCAGAATAGCTGTCACACCCTCAGATCCCTCAATCCCTCCCACTGGCAATACCACAAGCATGGGAGGCCAGCTGGATACCAGCCAGCCGAGGCCCTGGTTCTGCCTGGTCCTGATGCCCTAAGTTGGGGAGCCCAGTGATGACTGTGTGGCCCCTTCCCTGTTGCCTCCTTGGAAAACGAGGGGCTGCCCTCCTGCCCCAATGACCTCACTGCCCAGTCATGGAAGCAGGAAGCACTCCCTCCCTGGCTGCCATCCCTGCCTCTCTGTGCAGCTGCCACATGCCGCACCTGTTACATCCCCAAGAGACTCCCTGACCCAGCCTGCGCTCAAGGCGGCTCAGGTGATGCCCTGAAGATGCTGCTGTGTCTAGTGCGAGACCCACACACAGCAGGTGCTCAGTTCTTGTATTTGGACCTAACCTACCAGGCAGCCAGTCCTACATTCTGTTACCCACTGGGAGCCTGGGCCAGCCTGCCCTGCTGGGCCCAGTTTCCCCATCTCTGAGCAGGTAAGCCCCTGCTTCCAGGGGCTGTGTGCCCTACCCATAGTAGCACATTGTGCTGCAGGGTGCTGTCCCCCACATTCAGCCTCCTGCAGAGGGACAGTAGTACCATATCCTGAGGAAGAAGGGCTGGGTCCCCCATGCACAGGTCTGTGCTACCTGGCAGGGAATGTGGGGCATTAGGCTAAGATGCAAATCCTCCCACATCCCAGGACATGCCAGGATGTCCTTGGAGGGGCACAACCCTCACACAGGCCAGCTAGGAGCCTCCAAGGCAGGGAAGATCCACCCACAGGTGGCCTCAGGCCTTCTGGACAACCCATACTTGCTCAGTCAAGAGGTCCCACAGACAGCCAAACACCTGCCCCCTGCCGGGAAGCCAGCAGAGCCCCCAGCACCCACCTCTGCACGGCCAGTGAGGGCGGTGGTTCCGGGAGGTCCGTGTGGATGAAGGCAACAGCTTTGGGGCCTATGTAGGAGGGCGAGCGAGGAGTGCTGGGTGGAGAGGGCGGGCCCTGGCGAAGGGGAGACCTGTGGGAGCCACTGCCTGGCCGGGGTCCTGGGGCATTGTTGTTGGCCAGGTCTGCCTGCAGGGAGGAGGAGGAGGTCCGAGGCGCCCGGCTCACTGCGCTCGACAACGACGACATGGACGTCTG